AGAGAGAGAGAGAGAGAGAGAGAGAGAGAGAGAGAGAGAGAGAGAGAGAGATTCCCCAACACAGCACTAGATGCCCCACATGGGTGGATTTAAATGATCCCCAGCTCTCACTTCCTCAGTTTCCCCTTTGGAAGATAACAATAATAAAGCCTACCTCACAGAGCCATTCTGAGGAGAAAATGTGGTATTACTCGCCACGTACAGTATGTGGTACCTATCACAGACAGTTTCAACCACCCTTCTCATTTTATCCTTTTGCAAGTCTCACCCACCCGTGATCAGAAGGTTGGAAGTACGAGAAGAGCCTTGAATGATAGATAAGCATTCACTCATTTAACAGACAAGAAAAAACAAACAAGCAAGCAAACAAACAAACAAAAAAACTCAGTGAGGTGGAAAGCCTTGCCCAGGATTACTTCCTTCCTTAGTGAGAGAACAAGAGCTACATCTCAGGCCTTCCAATTTTCAGGTGCATGCAAATCTGCGTTTTCATCCCTCTGAAGACTGCTGGTATTTCTTTATCCCCAGACAAGCCTTCTTCATTCCACTTTTAACCCTAAAGCCTGTCTACCCACTAACTGCTGCACGCTGCCCTGAGCTTTCTGTAGCACCCACAAAACCTGCAGACGGCCTCCTCTCCTCCAAGAGCCCCCTCCTCCCGCCTCTAGGCCGGGAAGGTAGGACTTTCCCCCAGACTGGAGGATGGCACAGATGGGGACAGAAAGTGAAGGAGCCCGCCGAGCCGCAGCTGCGGGGCGAAGGTTGCCCCTGGTAACGGTGAGGGCTCCATTCAGGAAACCAGCCCGACTCTGAGAAGGAAAATGATAGCCTTCTTGCTCGGCTCCTTGCAAGCACAAAGAAAGCCGACAGGGTAGCAGGAAGAAAGGGGAGGCTACAGGCGGGGTGAGGTGAGGGCCCATGCTGTCAGTGACAGCCTCCCCCCATTCAGAGGAGCAAGGGCAGAAAAGCATGCAGCTCTTTGGATCTTCTGGCCTACGTGAACCGTAAAAATCACCCTTTTAACATGAGCCCTTTTGTGGGAATAGAGGAAGCAGGCACCCCATGCGTTCACCAGCCTTACGAAACAATATGCCAGGAGGAGGGGAGAAACCCCAAACGCTGCAACTTTATGGGGACCCTAAACTCTTCGTGCTCTGTCTCCTTCGCTCAGCCTGGTGACAAAGACCATTTGCTCCCAATTTATTGGACACTTTTTTTTTTTTTTTTTCACAGCTTGAGCTGCTTAGACGCTGCAAGCTCCCTCTCCTGAAATCACTCTCAGACACTTGCTGAATGGGCCAGGCTCAATTATGATCCCTCCACAGGTTCAGCTCACACTGTGACCCTGCCTGGCTTCCTGCTATTCATACGTGTTACTTCCCCTTTGTGGTAATGGCCTGTGGCACTTGGCCAGAAAACATTATTAATTTCAGAAGTGGACTGACAAACAAACCCTCAGTGAAATAAGAGGAAGTACCGGGGGGGAGGCCAGCTGTCGGGCTGGAGCCCGGCAGTAGGAACCCAGTGTGTGCAAGTTCGGGGAGGGATGGCGACGTCGGTCCACCAAGGGGAAACGCGCTAAAATTACCCACAGCGCCACCCCCGCCCCCACCCCGCCACGGAAAAAGAATGAAAAAAAAAAAGAGAGAGAGAGGAAAGAAATCAGAGGAAAGGAGGAATGAAAGCGCTCAGCTACTTGAGCTGCAGCTGGACAGGAAACGTCCAGCTTGCAAATCCCTACTTTGAACGGGGCGTTTAGGGAATGCCAGGAACGGAAACTCTTCAGAACTGGATTAACGGGAGCCAAGCTGCACGGCCATCCGTTTCTGCTTTCTGGGTTCCTGCTGACGGGGACACCCAAAGAGGAGCCTGACTCGGTTATTTTTTTTTTTTCTGCAGTTTGGTTTTTGGACTTAGTCGCTTAAAAGAGAAAAAAAATCACTCCCAGGCAGGTGGGCACAATTGCTTACAGAATGAAAGGCACTTGCCAATGACATGTTAGAATGCCAAAGAGCATGGCAGTCGTCTCCCGTGGTGCTGGTGTCGAAAGCTCAGTTTCCCATTTCAACATGATAGAGCTCAGGTGTGAGATCCCCACATCTATGTCCTAGCACTTTTGACTCTAACACGCATGCCTTCTACCTTTGGTTTATGTACTTCCGTGCTCAAAAGTCTCCAAAATAAATAAATAAATAAAATTTTAAAATGACAGAATGCCCAGCCTTTGGCTCAGAAGGAAATTTCAAGTCTATAACTGAGATTCAGTGGGGGTTCTGGCCTACATTCTGAAACCGCTAAGCACATAAGCAGACTTGAATTGGGAGAGCAAGATTTCATCCTAAGCGACCACTTGCAAGTCCATAAGAAAGCCAAGATGCCATCAGAAAGTCATGTGCACAGAAGAGGGAAGGTGGGGGGGCATTCTAGCTTGTGCTAAGATAACTTCCAGCAGAACCAGACAGCCTGGAAAAAATGATTATCTCTACTTCCTTCCTAGCATGCCAAAGGATCATGGAGTAGAGGATCCTGCAGGGCAGAGGTTACCATGTGGCTCATTATCCTGGCACAGCCTTCTTTTGGCAATTTATGGATAGCCAAACCTTAGAAGGGATGTACTACGGACTTCATTTTTCCAGGGGAGGAAAATGTTAAGCCTGAACTACTCATAACGCATTATCTGTATGTATGATGTATACCCTATTAAGTCTTCTCAATAAGAAGCAAAATTAAATTTCTGTCTGAAAAACAGTAATAACCTTGACTTGGCTATCACTACAAGCTTTATCAGTCCCCACTACTTAAATGTGTTACTTCACACACTAAGGAGACATTTAAAAATAAAAACACATTCAATAGCCAAAATAGTTATTTATTAATAATTTAAGGTTTTACATTCTTATAATAAATTCCAGCTCAAAACTTTACACCACGAACATCATGGAGCAAGTTAATCCTCCCTTCTCCACAGCCTGATGCACCCCACCTAACAAATGGGTACCCATGCTCACACACACACAGACACACACTTCCAGTTTCATATCATTTTTTTTTTAAAGGAAAGAAACCAACCCTAAGTATTGCATTTGAGGTGACACTCCCTGAAGAATTTTGTACAGAGGTAATAATATACTGCTGAGCACAGCTGAAGTTAAAGAAAAAAAAGTGAACCCCCAATTTTGGTGTCTTCCCAAGATACCCCCCTTTGAGACAATGTAAGCCAAATATTTACAAAGGTAAGGCAGAGTCAAAGTACATTAAGGGGGAAAAAAAAATCACAAGGAAGATATATGAAAGATACTTAAGATCGCACCTTAACAAAGTCTTAGTGATAATAATATCTGCGAAAATGTCATCAGAATTGGTACAATAAGGTCAAGCATGCTGCAAATATACCCTTTGGATTAGAAAAGAGCAAAATTTTCCTTATTTTGTTTTAAGAAGTGGCACACTGCTCTTCCTCTCCCTTTGGACTTCTTCTTTTAAACCCATCAAAGATAAAAACAAACACAAGCCAAACAAACACTGGTCAAGTGATTTTAAGATCAAATATTTACAATGATCAATTAAAAGAGTATCAGTTCTGTTTTTGTCTTCCCAAACCGATACCACAACAAATACAGAGCTAAAATCTCTTTGGCTCCACTATATGCAAAGTTGAATCAGTCTTCACTGAAGACAATATACAGTTAGTTCCAGATGCAACAGGAAACAGCCACTGGAGGCCCTAGGGAACACATGCCCCTACCCTACTTCCTGGCCCTACCCTCTTCATCTGGACGGACATCCAGTCCCTGCTTGGGTAGGCTGGGGTACGGGAGCAAACCTATTGCCTTGGATCTAGACAGCATGTCCTGTCCTTCCAGAAAGAATGAATGGAGCAAACCTCTCCCTCTGTAATAACCAATTTTGCACTTGGCAACCTTGTCCACTACAGACAGCTGGTGACATTGCTGACACCCGAGGCCACACACAAAGAAAGCAGCCTGCTCGCTGCTGCCCAAGAGAAACTGCTGAAGGAACAAGGACACTCCCAGCGAGGCCAAGTCGGGCGCCTTTCACGTCGACTGCAGGGAGTCCACCTGGTAGACGTTCTGGTTGGCGGGAGTGGTGAAGTAGAGTTGCTGTGTTGGAACGTGGTTGTCACAGGGGCTGCTGAGCCCCAGTGTCCTTTCAAAGTCAAGCAGCTGGCCCATGAAGTTGAAGTTCGGGGAGATGTTGGATTTCTTCATCTTGACGATGTCATAAGCATCGTTCATGGACAGGTTGAGCTTCTGCATGAGGTAAGCAACAGTCACGGTGACGGAGCGGCTGATGCCTGCCAAGCAATGCACCAAGACACCACAGTTTTTGCCTCGGGCTTCATCTGTGAACACAAAAAAAGAAAGGCAAGATTTTACTAGACCGGAAAAACCACCCTCTGCGAATGCTCAGCCTAAGATCTGAATTAAGAAGGGACATTCAAAACAATCCTGTGTGGCAGCTGAGCCCTGAAGGCAGGAGAAAATGTATAACTGAGATAAACATGTACGCTGAACACAATGACATATTTCAGATAGTTCCTGTAAAGAGAGCTTTTGTATTACGCTTTCTACCAACAATAAAAAAAATCCCTTAATGTGTACATTCTTTGCCTCAGCATGTGAATACCAGAAATCCTGCAATATGGTCCTGAATGTTTCTCATACAGACAAGCAGACTGCAAGGGTCTATTAAATTATTCTCCAACTGTTGTGCAGCTCACAATGGAGGTATTCAGGCATTTTAAAAGAGAGGGAAGTCACAGGGGACAGCCATGAGGAGGAACAGGATGTCTACAAGGCCTGAAAATGAGTTCCTTTGTAATAGGAAATGCACCACAATGCCTGGAGATTCGCTTCTCTTAGGCTCTGAGCCCATAGTTCTTCCTGCTGAGATCAGGTTACCCAGAGTCTCGCTGTGACCAGCACACTGCAGGATCACTCAACTGGGTAACATTTAGTATGCGAACTGCTTTCCAACAACTAACTTGGGTGTCCTAAAATAACTCCTGGGTCTTTTTTAAAATGATAAAGCAATTCTAGGATTGGGGTCTCTAAGTGAGTGCCTCTACTTAGCTCTCTTCACTCTCCTACTCTGACTAGAGACACACACACACACACACAACAAACACGCCGATTGGGAACGGCCTTTTAAAAGTAGAATTAAATGGTTCAAGGAAATGTCCCATTCCCATGATCTGCTATGTCAAAGGGCCCTGTGACCCTTTACAAGAAGGTAAACCAGAATTAAGAACACTCTAGGAACAGTAGAGGCCTGCAGGCCAGCAAAACAGCTTGCAGAAAAACAGATTAACATCTTCCCCTCTATGAATGACTGTAAATTAGTCTCACCTATGAAAGAAATGGCCTCGGGGAAAAACTGGGACAGGTTCTGGCTCCAGTGATCCGAAATCGGGATTTGCTTGTATTTGAACTCCCCTGCGTTCTCAAAGAGGTTGGGCAAATTGGGGGTGACATTCAAGATGTACTTGATGCCAAACTCCTCCAACACGTCCAAATTGGTCGAGTCCTTGGCACAGCCCAGGTAAAGGAAGGGCAGGATCTCCACCGGGAAGGAAGGCTGGCTGTTGGACAGCGGGCTGCCATCCGAGTCCGTTGCACTATTGGGGTCTCGGTCAAGGTCAGACTCAATGTCCGAGGAAGAGTCGGAGCTGATCCTCAGGCCCCCGAGCCCCAGCACTGGCAAGGGCGGGGAGCTGCTGCTGCACGAGCCGTCTAGATTGGTCTCGCAGTGCAGGGAGAACTCGGCCTGGAACTTACTGAAGCCACCTGCCAGAACAAGAAAAGCAATCTTGTAACCAGAGATGCCGTAGTAATTTTCAGCCTGTGAGAACCACCGCAGCTGGGTGCAGGAAACACTACCGAGGCACCCAATGAACCCC